GTTCCTCCCCAGGTGCACCACCTTACACTTGTCTGTGTTAAACCCCATCCTATTCTCCTCTGCCCATCCTTGTAACCTCTCTAGGTCCAGCTGTAGCCTGTTGCTCCCCTCTATTGTGCCCACATCACATATCTACGAACCACTTCCTGAAACATCAGGGCATTACATCAGAGTGCACAGAGGATGGCTTGATCCTCTAGCACCCTAGGCAGAGGGTTGGAGAGAAGGATTCCTTGCAAGTCTCTTAGCCTCCAGAGGATCACAAAGACAACCAAGCACACAGACCAGCATTCAGTCACTGTCTATCCTCATTCCCTCCCACTGTCCCCCCTCCCTCCATGGGCAAAACACTGAGATGCCAGAAAACACAGCAACTTTCTTTTGTACCCCCCGTAGCCAGAGAGCACTGCTGTCATTCGAAGTGTTCTAGCAGGAGAGCACAGGAGGAGGGTGTATTGTCTGTATGATACTGAAGTGATCCAAATTTAAAGTACTCCAAACTGGAGTGGAATTTTCTGTCCATGGCCTTAAATACATTGGGCAACCAGTTCAGGATCAAGCCGAATGGTAACTTCAGTTGCAAAACATCGTGATGCCTGAAAGGTCACAGTGAAACTGCATACAGACTCTAATTCACTGAAATAATCTATGAGATGAATCGGCTTAGCCCTAGGTTTGCTATAAATAATATGGAAAGTTTACAGAAGAGTTAAGTTCTACCCTAAGTAGCAGTTAAGAATTAAAATCTGGACTAGTATTTCACAAACACTTGAAAGCTGAGCTGTGCAACACAATTAAGCCAGTTTTGCCTGTCCTGCATGGCAGCTATTCTAATATTATAAAAGCCTAAGTCTGTCTGTAACACTGTATTTGTACTCTGATTGGCTGACAGAAATAGCCAATCAGAGTGCTCCAAGCATGGGGGAGCACTGCCAAGATTCCGATAGCATGCTGAGAACTGGACATTGGGTGGGGGAGCTGGCCTCATCTCCCCCACCCCACTCCCTGCAAGAGGCAGAACAGCAGCAGCATGGGGTGTTATGCGGCGGCACTCCATCCCAGGCCCCTGCTCCCCATACCCCATCATTCCTGACAGGCAATTGGCTAGTACAGAGATAAAGGCTTAACCATTTTAATGTATACATCTTTTCTGTAGTACCATATTTACCCAAATCCAAGATGACTCTGAATTTAAGATGACACCCCCCTCCACCCACCGCATAACCAGAATCAATACATAGAAAATGTATACATCTTACCCCTGCTGC